AAAAAAAAAAATGAGCAGAAGATCTAAACAGACATTTTTCCCAAGAAGACATACAGATGGCCAACAGGTACATGAAAAGTTGCTCAATCATTAATCATCAGGGAAATGCAGATCAAAACCAAAATGAGGTATATCACCTCACACCTGTTAGAATGGCTGTTATCAAAAGGACAAGAAACAAGTGTTGGTGAGGTAATGGGAAAAAAAGGGAATGTAAATTGGTGCAAGCAGTCTCTATTGAAAAAAATATGGAGATTCCTCAAAACATTAAAAATAGAACTACCATATGATGCACTTCTGGATACTTGTCCAAAAATGAAAACACTAATGCAAAAAGATACATACATCCCCATGTTCCTCACACTATTTAAAATAGCCAAGATACAGAAACAACCTAAGTGTCCATTGATGGATGAATGGATGAAGAAATTCTGGTGCACACACATACACAAATATTATTCACCAAAGAAACAAGTGAAATCTTGCCAATTCAGACAATGTATGATGGATCTTGCAGGCGTTATGCTAAGTGAAGTAAGACAGAGAAAGACAAACACTATATGATCTCTCATATGTGGAACCTAAAAAAATAAATAGTTCATAGATACAGAGAACTGACTGGTGGTTGCAAAAGGCAAGGGTTGGGGGAATGGGAGAAATGGGTGAAGGGTATCCAAAGTATGGATCTTGAAATCATGCATGAAGACAGTAGTATGCCATGAATTGTAGCCATCCATGGCTGACACTATGCCATTTCAAATTTTTGCTACCCAAAATTAGTGTATGTTCTTATAAATAAAAGCAGTTATACTTTATAACATTTTATACACATGTAATGCTATCTTCCTTGATTTTCTACCTGGTAGTATAGGGTGGCCTTTTTGTATCACACTTTTTATAGGTAGTAATGTGCTATTGCAGTGAAACAGCTTAAGTGCATTTTAGAGACTATTGTATCACCATCCTCATCAATCGACATTTATTGAATTCCAGCACTATAAATAATGCATATATATTTTACATGTAGTGAAATATGTGTGCATGTTTTCATATAAAGTATGCTATGGCCATTTTTTTTTTTTTTTTACATCTGTAAGAAAACAGGAGCTCCTATTTAATGGTTTTGAGACTCAGAGGAGTATAAAAACAACTCTGCACAATAAAAAAGAAAAAATACCTGCCTCCAGGTCATTGGGAGAATTAAATAATGTAATGCATACAGAGCACTCAAAAATGTCCAGGTATGGTAAGGTAACCTAAGACTGTATTTTTGCCCCTAATCTTTTACGACTTTTGTTTATATTGTTTTAACTTTAAGTAATTGTTTAACTTTTATAGTTAATTTGTAAATGGCATGAATAAACATTAAAGACTGATTTGCTACCAAAGATTTTGAGTGATGTGTTGATGATCATGTTGAAAGTTAGGCTTAATTTCAAAGTCTTGAAAGCGTACTATAAAAAAAATGAGATTTAAAAAAAAAAAGATCTCATTTTAAGAATGGCATTAGAATATTGGTTATCCTATGAACGTACCATTGTTCCTTCCCATTTTTTAAGTCTTGGGTAAATATAATCTGACACTGAGTTAAGTGTTAACTGACACCATATCTTTTTTTTCTTTCAAGATTTTATTTAAATTCAAGTTCACATATAGTGGAATATGAATTTCAGATACAGAATTTAGTGACTCATCCATTGCATATAACACCCAGTGCTCATTACATCACATGCCCTCCTTAATGTCCATCACCCATTTACCCTGCACCCCACCCACCTCCCCTCCAGCAACCCTCAGTTTGTTTTCTACAGTTAAGAGTCTCTTGGGGCACCTGGGTGGCTCAGTCGGTTAAGCGTCTGCCTTTGGCTCAGGTCATGATCCCAGGGTCCTGGGATCGAGCCCCACATCGGGCTCCCTG